CATACATTATTGCTCAAGTTCAAGGCAACTGCCCTTTAGTAACAAACTGGATTGTGTTCATTATACCAATATATATTCTCCTACATGTGGATATTTTCCATCTACATTCGGCCTTTGTGTTAAAATGAATGCTCTCTTCTATGTTGTGCAGTCATCACTACGTCCAACGTCATTTTTATATGTCACTGTCTATTGACTTGTATGAAGGCAAAATCCATAAATCCATGAGAAATGTAATGAGGTCAGTTTTAGACAGGCAGTGTAATAGCAGCCAGCCGGGGTCCTTCACACGGAGATAGCGGCGATAAATCAAACTTATTTATAAGATTATCATGAGAATTAATGAGGGTGATTAGAGAGAGGTGGATTGTGGGAGATCCGTGGAGATGTGAGTGTGGTTGTCAAATGGTCCAACGGGGAATAGCAGGTGCTGTGCTATGCTGTGTGTTATTGTTTTGTTGATGGAAAATGGAAGATACATATCCCATGATTCATTTCAGTGCAAACAACATGAAGAGAATTGCCTGGATGAATCCAGACTCATCGCTGTACCAGTGGATATGGAGCTGTATAACAAATACAGAGAAATATCCTTCTGGATTTCCAGACAATGAAGAGATATGTTTTTTACTTGAATTCTTGGGATTATAATGGTAATAATTCACACCAAAATCTTGTCAAGGTATTTTAAAAACAAAACGGTGTCCCATCTACAATTATATTAGCCTCTTCAAAATATCGTAATAAATATTGTACCGTGAGATGCATATTGTGATAATATCATACCGTGAATAGTTAAAGAGCCTATATTATGCTAGTTCTGACCTATGTTATAATGTTGTTTCCACATGAAAAACATACCTTACCTTGTTTCACTGACACATGTTTAACACAAAAATTCTGCACACCAGTGTGTTCTTGAAGTCCATACACCTTCACTAGAATCATTTGGATCATTTCAGCCTGGGAATTGCCAATCTCTACTGAACTAAAGTTAAAACAGAACAGAGCATTTTGAGCTTTGGAGATGTTGGCCAACTAATAAAGCAGGATTACTCAAATGAAATGTGAAATTCAAATGAAACAAAACACAAGTCCTGGTATGTTTTTGATGAGGTAACAACATTCTAACATGGCTTAAAGCTCACAAGAGTCCATTTGCAATTTATAGGACCAAATTTGTGCTTCAAGCCTTTTCAGACGTGTTATCTTGTCACTTAGGTTGGAGATAAAGCAAAAACAGCTACAAAAAACTGCCTTCTGAAGTTCTCGCTGTAAAAAATATATGAGTTTTGAAGAGAACAAGAAATGAACAAAGGCAAGAATGTGTTTGAAAGCAGGAAGCAGGAGACGTAAACAAAGCTGTGCTCCGGTTATGGTGTTTGTAATATCAAAGAAATACAGGCCTGTCAGAACACTACTCTGCAAAAACAAAAATAGTATGAACCTGATGACTCAAGTTCTTAAAATTAGTAGAAAATTTCAAACCAGGAACACAAAAAGTAGTCCTTGATCAAGCTATTGACCCTATCTCACAATCTGACTTGACCTGTACTTAAAACTTTATGTGTGAGGTTTTTAATTCTTAATATTTTAAAGGTGCATGGCATAAGTTTCCCAGTGCAAGGTTTGCCATCTGCTTGTCTCCAGGGAAATGTTTGATTTTTGTTTCACTCTGGGTTGTTGCATTGTCTGCCGAACTTAGCAGCAACCAGATGACACCAACAAGCCAAGTCACATCTCAGATCTGTGGATAGGCGACCTCACTCACAATATGAACATTTGCTCTTACCGTATTTTTCTGATTATAAGTCGCTCCAGAGTATAAATCGCACCAGCCAAAAAATGCACAATGAAGAAGAAAAAAACATGTATAAGTCACACCGGACTATAAGTCGCACTTTTTGGGGAAATGTATTTTGTAAAATCAGAGACCAGGAACCGACATTTCATCTTGAAAGGCAAGTTATAGTAATAGCAATAGAACACAGAACAACAGACTGAATAGGCGTTAATATGTTAACGTAACATACGTAATGTAACACAGTTAGAATTATTCCGGCCTTTCTGAATCCTGACAGGATGGTTTCGATTGTCATTGAAGTTCAGGTTTTGTCAGTTCATTCAGTGACTTCCAGGAAAGTTACATGGTGCACCTGCCCGGTTGCTGTAAAGCTGTGTTCTCCATCCCCGCTTTCCGTCAAGTCCCTCATAAGTTTCTCGCTCCAAACTTTCTTTCTACTTCTCAATTACCGTTTTTGGCTGAATATTTCACTATTTGCAGCAAGACAGTGGCTATTTCTACAGGAGACATGCACAGTAGAGTGCGAAGTGACAGTGGTACAGGAGTAATAGTCGTACTAGATACTGACACACAAGCCTAGAGCCTCTCGCGACTGTCAGTCTGAAAATTTTAATATATAAGTCACACTGGAGTATAAGTCGCAGGACCACCCAAACCATGCGAAAAAATGTGGTAATAAAAGATTTAATTTCATGCTGTGGAACATTCTGTAACATCTCCATGGTGACAAGTAGGTGACAGGCCCTTCCATCAGAAAAAGTACACGGTGCACTTTTAACATTTCCCAGTGTTCTTTAAAGCTCCTCTGTTTATATAGTTGTCTTGATCCACACAAAAATGAATCATCTTTTTTTCATTTTCTTCATAGAGGCCAGAAGCAGTGTCAGTCAGCATCAGTAATCCCTTTATTCGTGCGCTGTCGCTCACTGTCTAAGCTACTCTACACGGTTGTCATGGATATAAAGAACTCAAAGGTTTTCGCTGAGTTTTACCAGAATATATTTTACAGTTTTTGCAAGAATTTTGTGATTAAGTGCTTGTCTGGGCCAAGTTAGAGGTCAGATCTGTGGAGATGTTACATTGCTTACAGTTTGAAAGCATGCTTTTGTTGAACTTATGCACAATAAAAACACCTGTAACTGTAATAAATGTAAGGTTTAAGTTGAATGTCATACTAGAAAAGTAATATAATCTCCATGGAGACAAACAAGTTGCAAACCCTCCTCCCCAAATTTTATTTTATTTAGGTTTATTACAATGTTGCTTAAATTATATTTTCAGATCTTAATGCTAAATGTGAGGACAGACTAGGTGTTTTAGTGATTAAAAGTGTGAATGCTTTTTTTTTTTCTTCCATAACCCCATAAAAACTGTGAATAAATTGCACATTTTTCAGAATACCAGTCTACCTCATTTAATAGCTGCTCATAATGGCTCTGAAAACCTTGAATCCTATAATAAGTAGACGATGAATAATGAAACATATTTTTTCTAACCTTACCAGACTTGTGAAACACATTCTTGAAGAAATCAATGCAGCTGTCTGAATAAAGTAAAAACCCAGTTAATGGAATCTTTTAACTTGTTGTTGTTGAGAAGGACATCTTATATAGTCATCATTTCATTGACGCATAATATGGTGAATTGTTCAATCTGTCACTAATCTTTTCAATTCTTACTCAAACACCGCAGTATGGCTAAGATTACATGCTTTGTTTAAAAGAAGAGGTTTAGCATCCATTTGGGCTAAGATTTACCAGATTGTGTTTGCAAAGCTGCGTCATTTTGCCAGTAAACCTACTTGGGAATATCTAAGAATGGGTTATCGGTCATTTCTCCAGATATTAGTATCAGTTCCGTACACATATGCAAAACTGAGTCAAAATTTCACACCAATATGTTTTTCTTCAATGAATCAGGCTGTGTGCCCCTGTTTTGCTCCAAGTTATCGGTTATTGGCCATATGGGAAATTGGAGAATTTCCCCAGATATCAGTATCAGTTCGATATACATATACAAAATAGAGCCGATATTTCACAACAATATGTTTTTCTACAATGACCCAGTCTGTGTGCCCATATTTCATTCCCAGTTTGTCCTCGAAGCAACAGATTTGTCTTTTTGAACACACCAATGAAAACAGAATTAGAAGAGCGTTTACACAATCAAGCAACAAATGAAATTATATTAAAAAATGGAAGGAGTGAGAGCTTCAGTGGATTTTTTTTTTAGTTAAAGTCCAAAACAGGTGCTCCTCAAGGATAAAGCTCAAAAGCTAACAGAAGATTAGGGCAGGGTATCATTAAGAAGTTGAAGATACGGTACACATCTTGATACAGTGCACTTTCAATTCAGTATGAAATATTTCAAATCCATTTGATATGGTTCAATAAAAAATAAAGTCTAAATCATAGCTGTGATATGAAAAGTCTTTGTTAAACCACTTTTTGTGCAAAGTTCATATGAAACACTAACATTTTAATCATCAAAACAGTGAAAATGTCAAATGTGTTGCATAAACGAGTTTCCTTCCTCTGAACAAGCAGCAAAACTGTAGCTGTAACAAAATAATTTTGTAAAATATACCAAAAACTACTCTTGGCAATATATTGGTACAGTAGCCCACGATATCGATACTGTATCATCACATTAAACGATACTATATATCGATAGTTCAATATTTTTGCAAATGATCATGCTTGTATAAAAACTACTGTGATAGAGTAAAAAAGTGGAAAAAAATATTATAATATATTATAAAAAGTCCTTTATTGGTTATGGTTAGTTGGTTTTATATGTCAGATAAAAACATGTTGTCATTGTTTTTACAAAACCTATTTCATATGTGAATTGTAATATAACTTAACATAGATTTGTGGTCCTTAGTATGGATTTTAAACTATTCAGATATTGGTAATTGGCTACAACAACACCCAATTTGGGGGAGGTAGAGGAGGAAAAGGAAAGAGAGGAGATGAGAGGAAGGGAGATGGAGAGGAGAAGAATTTCAGATATTGTATCTGCTCAACAAAATATATTAAACCATCCTTATGCTAAAGCAATTGTATTACTCTTTAACCAGGTTTGCATTGGGTTTGTTATCTCCCGTGCTTCGAAGGATATCTTAGGACATCTCTACGTGCGCTCTCATTCTTATATTAACCTCCACGTGCCCTTTCTTTTGTTTGTCTTCCAGGATCCTGTTGACGGTGGTGGTGATCTTCCGAATCCTTATCGTGGCCATCGTCGGAGAGACCGTTTACGAGGACGAGCAGACCATGTTCATTTGCAACACCCTCCAGCCCGGATGCAACCAGGCCTGCTATGACAAAGCCTTCCCCATCTCTCACATCCGTTACTGGGTCTTTCAAATCATCCTCGTATGCACCCCTAGTTTATGCTTCATTACGTATTCGGTTCACCAGTCGGCCAAACAAAAGGATCGGCGCTACTCCTTCCTCTATCCAATCATGGAGAGAGACTACGGCAGAGACGGGCCGAGGAAGCTGCGCAACATTAATGGAATTTTGGTTCAGCACGGTGGAGATGGCGGAGGTGGAAAAGAGGAACCAGATTGCTTGGAGGTGAAAGAAATTCCCAACGCACCAAGAGGCCTCACCCACGGGAAGAGCTCCAAAGTCAGGCGACAAGAAGGGATATCACGTTTCTACATTATCCAAGTTGTGTTCAGGAACGCGCTCGAAATCGGATTTTTGGCCGGGCAGTACTTCCTGTACGGCTTCAGCGTACCCGGGATCTTCGAATGCGACCGTTACCCCTGTCTCAAAGAGGTGGAGTGCTACGTTTCCAGACCGACGGAAAAAACGGTATTCCTGGTGTTCATGTTTGCGGTGAGCGGGATTTGCGTGGTGCTCAACTTGGCCGAGCTGAACCATTTGGGATGGAGGAAGATTAAGGCGGCGATTCGGGGCGTCCAGGCGAGGAGGAAGTCCATTTGCGAAATCAGGAAGAAAGATATGGCTCACTTATCCCAACCACCCAATTTAGGTCGTACGCAATCAAGCGAATCAGCTTATGTCTGACCAAATTTATTATGTATTTGAGTGAATGTGAGAGAGAGATTTTCTAAAACTACAAGTAAAAAGGGTCGCGATCAGGATGTCTTTTTGTTATCGGAGAAAAATGAACTTTTAAGAGTGACCCAAGCCATAAAGCAAGAGACATTACAGACTTGTGAACAGGCGAAGACACTGCCATATTCATTTAAAAGAATCAGCCCTGTATTTTTTCAACGGGGTGATAAAGATCGAAAGACATAAAAAGTATATCCTGTTTTTCGTTGCTTTGGGAAGACATGACAGTTGGGGTTGACGCGTCCCAGAAGACATAGAGAGTTACAGCATTATTACAACGCAACGGAAGAGTTGTCAGCACCAGGAAGGATCACAAATTGTTTTTCTTTTTTTTTCGAAAGGGGGACTGAGTAGCAACGAACCGCACAGGATGTAGAGAAGACTTGCTTTGTTTGTCGTTTGCTTCCCCTCGTTGACAAAAATAAAGACCAAAGTCAAAAATGTACAAAAAAAAAAAAAAAAAAAGAAAGAAATTAAAAGAGACAGATCTGAGTAGTGTCATCGTGTACTGGAACACTGTCCAGGGCCCAAGCCAAAATAGTGGGAACGGATCTTGTTTATGCTTGGTGTCCTGGCAAAAGGCGACGTTAACACAAGCAAAATGAGGAATACCATAAACATCTGCCGTTCGTTTCTCACGCCTTGCTCTGTCCCCTATGTGGTTGGCAGCTATTTACACCTCCAGGCTTTGCTGACGGACTTGGGCGACGCTTGGTGATGCTAACTAGCCCGGCCGATGCTAACTAGCCTGGGCTACGCTAATGATTCTGTAAATCTCGGAGAGGAACTGATGAACAAAATGGCGTCTTCTAAAGCACAAGCCAAACTCAGAAATAAAGAGACAGTCACGAGAAGAAAAAAATTATAGAAGGAATCACATCACTTTATTACATCTACTCAAATTTTATAGAAATATATCAAAATTTATTATAATTTTAGTTTTTATTTTGAGAAAACAATGGTGCCATCCTTGAGATATTTAAGTATAGTTTAAAGAAATAAGGTATAGGTCTATCATGGTAATATTATTTATCCATTAGAATATATCAAATTATTTATCATAAGGGTGATGGAGGAATCATATTGCTGTTTTTTAAATGTATAAACATGATTTTTGTCTTTTTTAAAGTTTTTCTTATTATATTATATTGATTTTTTTCACAGAATATAAAAAGCAGAAAGCGGACGATTGTCAGATATGTTATATAGTGTATAAAAGCTGGAGCTATGCAACAGATATGACTAGATACTATATATGTTAAAAATGCATATTACTTGCCCCTAAAGTTGCAATATTTGAACACATTTTTTGTTTTATTTATAGTTGGATGACAGTGGAGTAGTGGGTTGAGAATTTGCCCACCAACAAGAGGGAATCTATCTTAAAACTGACCTTACTATTTCTCATTTGCACTGTTACCCAGTTGAAAACCATTATTAGACTGAGGTTATGTTCAGACTGCAGGACTTAATGTGCAATTCAGATTTTTTTTGTGAAATCAAATTTTTTTGCAAGATCATTCACATTTCCAATTAAATGTGACTTCTATGTGATCTCCAGTGTGGACTTTAAACACCCCAAAAGTGTTCCGCATGCACACTGGAGGACACGATGACGTCACACGCAGCAAGCATGCTCAGTGTTTACGGAAGTCACCTAAACGCTGGGCTTGTCTCCCAAAATACTGTCCAGTTCTTCATAAAATGGACAGGTTACACGTCCAGGACTGCTTCGTTTGTTTGAGTCTTTAGCCTCCTTGTATTTGGCTCACAGGCTCCTTATTTTTTATTGACATTGGAGCCAGAACCACCTGTAGCTGCACTCAGTCATTTCTTTGGGAATCATTTCAAAAAACGCCCGGTTCCGCTAACCTCGCTTTCCCTCCACTGAATAGACTCCGAGCCTGAAGTCGCATGTCAAAAGATCGGATATGTATCAGTTTTCAAGTGGCCTGGGTCGCATTTGAAAAAATCAGGTCTGTGTCGTTCAGACTGTCATTAAAAGATCAGATACAGGTCGCATTGGGGCAAAAAAAAATCCGATTTACGTCCCTTCAGGCTGCAGTCTGAATGTAACCTTAGACTAACTTTATTGATGCATAAGGGCATGACGCATTATTTGCACACAGTAGCTCACACACCACAATATAATAACCAGTGAAAGGTGTCAAAAAAGAGATAATTATATAAATGTAGCCTATATTGATAAGGAAAAATAAAAAATATATATAGAAAGGAGAAACGGTGCAAAGATGAACTAATGATTGACCGGACATAGCGTTATCTGTTACATAAGGGTGAGTTGTTGCACAGTCGTAGGGAGTATTATAGTATGAATGTAGTCCTTTATCTCTCACCGTTTGAGCCTGTTGGAGAATGAGCTCCTCTGTCACTCTATAATCTGGTACAGTGGGTGAGCAGAGGTGTGACATTTGATCAAGAAGAAAACGACATATTCCAACTTTATGGGCAAAAACCTGGATGTTTATTGAGAAAACGGCGGCTTCTGTTGCGTAGCCCCAGCTGGTTTCGGCCTGTGAGCCCATGTGATAAGGCATGTTTACTTGAAGAGACATTGCTGGATGATCGAGCTGTGTACATTGTGAGTAGTAGCTCTCTATGGACAGTCATGCTTCTGAATTTCAATGGCTTCTACAGTTTGCATATTTCTTTCTCCAGACTGGATTTCAACATGCATGCCTTGTAAGAGAAATGTTAAGGAATGATAACTCAAAGAGACGGGAAGAAAAAATGGCGTTGAAAAGCGTTGCACCTTGATTACAAAAGATGAGTGGGAGAGTGGTAGACTGTAGGAATATACAGCTCTACAAATATATGTTCAGAATGACACACTTTCCAATAATGTATTCTTTTTCTCGGGTTTATCACTGCTACTATCAGCCTTGGGTTGGTTACACAGTGTAGGAGGAAATGTAAGGACGTTAGAGCACTGTAAACATAAGAAGAGATGCAAATGAACATACCAAGGTTTGACAGAAATGAACCCACAACCTCCGCTCAGTGTTTCTTTTTATTATTGTTACCCAAAGTTGACCAAAAATATGTTATAGGACCAGGGAAATGTAAACCGTATCACTGGATTTGATGTAAGGCCAAATTTGTCCAAATTTAATACGCTTTTTCCCGCATTTCATTTTTTATGATGATCCAAACTAAATAATTCAGATTTTAAGGTGATCTAATTTAAATATATATGTTAACATCAATTATTTAAATAGAAAAATGTGACATCATATATTTAAAGGTGCACTGTGTAACTTTTCGCTTGTTTCTAGGTCAATGCTTGGCCTGGAATGTTCCACAGTATGACATTAAACATTTACTCAATTACTGGTGGTTTTATTGGTGAAAAACACCAAGGAAAACACATTCTGACTGTGAGTGGGGTCGCCTCTCCACAGATCTGACCTGTAACTCGATCTGGTTTGATCCGTAAAGATAGAAAAGCTAAATACCATACTGTGAAACATTCCAGACAACGCAGAAATGCATTTGATGGACCCTCCACTAGAAAAGTTACATAATTCACCTTTAAGTAGTCAAAAGTGTGTTCAAAACCATATATCAAGCACTATAGATTAGTTAACTGCCTCGAACTATCATCTCCATGACATGCACAGTTGCTTAAACAAACACTTAGATTGCATTATAGTCTTAATTGTCTGCGCTTGGAAGGACAAAAAGTAGGAGACCAGCGCACGCCACAGAGAGACTAATAATAGAAGCTAGTCCCATTATTAACCCAGGGCTTAAGGAGTGACCTTCAGACTTAAGGCCAAGCCAATGTCCTGTCCTGATGTAATCTGCACACGGTACTCCAACAGCACTCTATTTAAGGCAATGGGAGTCTCCAACCTCCAGAGCACCTGCAAGTAAAGGAGAACTGTCATGAAAAGATGGTGAGATAGAAGATGTAAGATAGAAGATGCAATTTAGAGATGCACTGAGTAACTTTGTGGTAGGGGGTCCGTCAACTGCTTGTTTCTATGGATATGTCATTGCTCTGCCTGGAATGTTCCACAATATGACAATGAATAGTTCTGCCTTACATTTATTAAATTACAGGTGGTTTTATAGCTCAAAAATACCAAGAAAAAGGCATTCTGACTGTTGCCTGGGTCGCCTCTCCACTGATCTGACCTTTAATTTGGTCTAATTTGGTCTCCAAGATGATAGAATGATTAAGTACTAAACTGTGAAACATTGACAGACCCTTCACCAGAAAAGTTACACAATGCACCTTTAAAATGTGTATAGCATTATCTTTTAGGATGCATGGTTATGTGCACAAAGCAAATATTTAAAAATGTTAGGACACTGGTTAGGTATTGGATAATCTTATAATAATTTTTAGGGTCCTAAACCAGCTTTTTTCCATGGAGATGCTGTTGTTTTGCCTGGAATGTTCCACAAAATTTGAACTTAGTTATCTTCAAGGTAATTACTCACTAAACTGAGATTTGAGTTTCTAAACTATCAGAGACTGGGACATGTTTAACTTTTCTTGTTTCCCATAGCTTACATAGAAATCACTGTTACACCCTGGGCTGGAGGAAGTGTCTGGGGCAGGGGTCTCCAACCTTTTGCTTCTGGTGAGCTACCTTTACAAAAAGAAAATGCCAAAGAGCTACTTTTTTAGTGGTTACAAGAAATTGGGCATAGGAAAGCCTTAGATGGGAAACAGCTTGATAACTATAAAACATAAACCTTTATCCATTTATTAGTGCGCAAAGTTCAGCACAATATGTATAATTCAGAAATTCCTTGGCGAGCTACTTGAAAGGGCGTGGAGAGCTCCAAGTTGAAGATCCCTTGTCTGGAATGAGGGAGGTCTAACCATATTTTGTGAAATTGATTTGTTTTCGATTTCCATTTTTTAACACGGGCCCTTAGTTTATTCAAATATTGTGTCAAAATATTCAGAATAC